CACCAGATATTGCTTGTATATGTATCGCTATTATATTGTGGGGAGACTGGTAGTGAGATTCAGTAAGTGCATTTACTGATATTTGAAACTTATCTGTTGAGTTTCTCTGCATCAGTAAACTTAAGGGCCACCAATGAAACGCGAACTGAGCATCTATTCCGTTGTGATGAGAGAACAAAGCATTAACCAATAGACTGCAGAGCTGTCACTATTATTATTCTCAGTGTTATTTGTTCATTTATTGAACAGAACTGGCTAGCCTACTATCGATGTAAGGATAGTGCTAAGGAGTTTGGGATCGGATACGAGTTTCAGCATATAACGAAATGCTTACAACAGATCTCACTGCTGACCAATACCAAATATGGCCATTTGTTAGTAGTATACATTATCTCTGATAAACATACAATTTCCCCTGAGAAAAATACGAGTGGTAAGTTCCTTAAATGAGCAGTTCCAAATACAATGTTAACAACCTTTGATTTTAAAAGGCCACTGAAATCCATTATTATAGAAACCCTTAAAGATACTGGGTGTACTTCTTACTAATTCCCTACTAATAAAATTAGTCACAGGGTTATCTTTTTCATTGGATATGCAATTTACAAAAATGGAAGTACCAGGTCCATAAATATCTCCACTTTTTGTCAATATTTTGTTTTAAACGCACAGATACATGCTAAAGCTCGGACGCGAAACTCTAAATCCACTAGAAAAAAAAAGATCCGATAAGTTAATAGAACATAATCTATAGTGAATGTAAAGCCACGTGAACATGTAAATATTTCACTACAATAACTTTTTTTAGAGAAAAAATTAACAGTAATAACTATTAAAGTGAGTTCTCACTGACTATATCGATTTCTTTTATCATATTCAGCCTTCCCTGTTTGCTGTTGCATCAACTCTTGGTGAATCAGCTAATCCTGATGACCAGCTAAGAGCAATAAACATGCAAGTTAAACAAATTTTTGATAATTTGATTCTTTTACAGAAATCATTTTCCTCTTAAGAAATAAAAAAGAATCAGAATGTTAGGGATTTTTCATTGATGTTTGTTAGAACAAAGTGTTGATTTATCTTTAAACACATAGATGTCTGAATTTAATTAATTCAAATGCGAAAACCGATGGACACCCTGAAAGTCATACTGTTTTGGATTTGGTAGACCATGTACTAAAATTTGAGATGAGCAGCAGATTATCAAGTCCACTTACTGATCACTAAAGAGATTTTTCACTATCTTAACTCTCGATAAGTCTCTGTACTAATTATTTAATTTTAAATGAGCATCAAATCTATTGGCCTTATTGTCCAAAAACTCATCGAGTTTGTATTTACTGCTGTTTTTTATTTATAGCTATGAACATCTTCTCAAACAAAATTTTGAACCGATCAAAGTACATTTCGCTTTGGGTATGTTACAAACTGATAAAAAGAACTATATCAAAGCATCTAAACATTATCAGAATGTTATTATTGTAAGTGATTTATTTAAACAGGTATGATTATTACTTCAGAGAAATTTAAGAGACACAGAATTTTACTTTCTAAACGAAAAAATCTTATGCACTTACCGTATATCCCGATACTACAATATTAACCATCTTATTTAAATCATAAAACGATCAATGTTAGACCACCATCGAAAGCCTGGAAGCACTGGATAATGGCTTCGTCCTAGCATGGGACTCTTCAGCTCTGCGCTAACTACAACTCTGCACATGGGAGTCGGACCCAGGACCTTCGGTCCTGCGCGCAAACACTTGACATATAAACCACTGGGCAGGAATCTAACGGTTTTAGTGACTAACTTCAATCAGTCCACAATATATTGCTCGACCATCTTTTATCGTCTACGGCAGGGAACTGCCTCACACCAGATACGATTGAACTACACTGGTCATGGCTTCTCACTAGAACTCCTGAAATTTCCCCAGTGAGCACGTTACTTGTCAGTAAAGCGTTGTGGAGATTGTTTAGTTTCAATCGAATCGTGGACCAATCAAGGTTAGACTACCACCTTAACTCTTCATGTGCATCTACCGACCTCTTACTACATCATTCTTTATAGTTGAATTATTGTACTGTAGCCCGTTTTGGATTTTTTCATCATGTCATTAGTTTATAATGAACGTTCTGATCTTCAAAAGTAATACCAACGTTGCCCAATGATGCATGCAATGTAATTAGATTCTATATACGGATATATCATCTCTTATTAAGTTCAGTGTTTCCGTGTAGGGTTCAGGTATTCGCCTTTCTAAAGAAGACTTTTTGTCCCAAATGTACTTTGATTAACCCTATTTCTTTGTTACTATTCTAGTTTCGAGCATTGTGTCATATATGCTGTTAATATAACATGAATTATATCGTCGAAAACCAAGATAGTTATAATTTTGCTAGCGACTCGTACTCATTTTCGTACAAAGAATTCGTGTAACCTTTATTTGAAATTAGACACTTCAGCAGGTCTTAAGATTATAAGAGACTACATATGACTAGATGCAGATACCACTTTACGGATTATGTACAAAAACATACAAAACTGAACTGGTGCTGGTTGACCTATGCTGATGATAATGTCAGTAGCATTTGCAAAGAAGTAATTATTGTTTGAGTTGTTCCAAAAGCACTTAACTCGTCTATTTTATTGTAGTGAACGAAGGCTTGATGGGGAAAACCAATTTACTTTTTTTATGCCAAATCACATAGTGGCATTGTAAAATTCGTATTAAATACATCGTTTGTATATCTTCCCTCAGTTATCATTTACATACTTCATCATTCTTGCGATCGTGTTGTTCTCATTCTTATTTCTGTCCGTTTCCTTTCCTCTTCTTATTTCACTCTTTCTGGTAAGCATTCTAGTTCGTGCTACATACTACCTATATTTGTCCGCATAAGTGCAAGCCGCATTATGTCTACTCGTTTTTTCAATCATTAATCTACTGATTTGTAATCATAATGATTATAACATTTTGTCCGTTTTAGATTACATACGTGTTTCTCATCCGGATATGTTTTTACCTGATATTTTTATTTTGTCGTTTTTAAGCTGGATTCTGATCATAAAGGTTCATTATTTAACCTAGCTCTACTTTATCGGAATCATCTTGGAAAACCAGATGATGCAAGGAATCTCGCACTTCATCTTATCAAGGTAAATTTAGATTTATATTTATTAGTTTTATGCACCGAAAACCATTGACAGAGATTACTGTTTTATTAATTCAGTCAATGTGAATTATTGGAGTGATTGAATAAATATTTTAGTCCTAACTAGTTTAATTTTAATTAATTTTTGTTATTCTGCTTGTTAAATGGCTGAAAAATTTGTTTAGTGCTTTGTACTACAGCTGAGAGTTAAATGCTTAAACCACATCAACAGAATTAAACGAAAGATGAAAACTGATAAACCTCTTTTGTCATTGTTCATTTTGGTTATCTGTGTGATCATATCTAAAGAGCAATGATTGATGTACTTTGTGACAAAAATTTGTTATTTCTCTCATATGTGTGACTTTTTCTTTTACAGGTTTATCCTTCACATATAAAGTCTTATTTACTTCTCGGAGATATAGAATTAACTGAAAAAGCGAACATAAAATTAGCAAAGCAAGTAAGCCTTTAACTGTAAATCTATGAATTTGTTAATGCTACTTCATCTTGAACATATGTCAACATATACTTACCTTTTTCCTACTTAGTATTTTGAAGAAGCGCTAAAATTGGACCCAAAGAACATTCAGGCAAAACATAACCTTTGTGTTGCTTTGGCAGATGAAGATGATCTAGAAAAATCGGAATCATGCCTTTTAGAGGCTATAGCCATGGAACCAAAACCTCAAAACTATTTACTACAACATCTAGAAATTATACGTGGACGTCTGCATTCTCGTGGAAAACATGCATATACCAAGTTAAACAATGATAAGTAATCGAACTATCGAAATCATACATGATTCGAATGTTTAAAAACTGTATCCATCATTTCTGTGCTTAGAAAACTGTCTTTTATACAGGAATATCGACAAAGGGACACTATTTATACGTCGACTATAATGTCATTAGCACCCACAAATACTTTTCTTCGGATCAGGTTGATGGGCACATATTAAAAAGTGCGATGATCAAGTTAGCTGGGGGACTAAGCACATAAGGGTTTAAAATTTGATCGCTTCGTCTATTTGACCAACCGAAGCGCACTTATCCAAACGTTCAGTGTATAGTTTACTTTCAACAAATACTGTAAATTCTCGAATTTAGTAACAATTTTCTTCCCTATTACTCCAGTCATGTCCCATATATCTATTTTGAACAACGAAGCTGAAAATCTAGTTGGCCTGCTTAATAATTCGCATAGGGTTCTGCGACAGTGAGGCTTGGACGAATTGTGTTTTCTCACTTATTATTAGATACCATTCCTATATGGTATTCGCGAAGCACTTATTGACCCATATATGTCAGAGAACTAACAGTATGGGCCTTCTTGAAGTTCATGTTTATGGGTATGAACCAAAATATTTATAAAGTGATAGGTTTTAATTAGTTATATCAATGAACCTTAGAATCATTTTGCGAAGCCAACTTAGTTGAATTATGTAAAATGGGCATCTGAATATCATAGATACTCGCATTCCCGTGAGCATCCTACTTTACGATAATCCCACGATCTCACTAATTATGACTTTTATAGTTGATATCTCGTTCGACCTACATTTAAACATGTACAACTGACTGACCATTTTCGGAACAACAGCTCTCTTCACCCGCATGACGAGGTGATCAATATGCACTCTCTGTACGCTATGGATTGAGATTGATAAACTTCAAACATCAAAATATGCTATACTCTATAATACATGTTTTAGACCCAAAAATATACATGCTATCTAACAATATTTTTATGAATTGGTCATTGGAAATGGTTTAATTGTGCAGTCCTCCATGCCATCAATCTGTTCGAGGTAATTTTAAGGGCATGAACACTAAACTGGATGATTCGTACATTAAAAATGAGTTAACCTCCCTATTGTATATGCAACAACTAATGCACACGAATACAGCCACTATAGCGGTGGTTTCAGCAGAATTACGCGGCAGTGTTTACAAACGAAAAGCGAAATTCAGAAGTATAAGGTAGACAGCACCAACCAAATCACACTTGATGGGGAAGTTGTGAAATAGGTGCAAGTCTTCATGTATCTGGGTAGCATCATTAGTAATCAAGGAGGATCTGATCCAGATGTGAAGTAACAAGCTAAAGAGTAGAAAGCCTGAGTCGATAAGTAATCAGAACAGAGAACTTGTGAATTCTTTCGCGCCTTCAATCTGTCCGAGGTAATTTTATGAGCACGAACACGGAACAAGATAATTGGGAGTCCCAGAAGTGTTGATTCATGTAAGGATATTGGAAAATGACATAGTTTCACAAAATGGTTTTTGCTTCAGAAGTCGGAGACTCGTGATTCAATAGAATTTTGCGTGCAAAAAAATAATTCGTGAAAATACTTTTTCAGGCTTTTGTCTGGAACTATGGCAACGAGTTCATCTAAATATTTAGGTATTATTGATGTGTGCTGTATATCGTCACTAAAGGTAACACAGAAAACAATATTATATTTACATCGAAAAACGTTCATATGTTACAATCACATTCTATCAACAAAACTGTGCAATAGGGAACTTGTTTATAGCAACATTCGACGAATCGGTATTTCTCTCCTGTAAGTGTGAAAAAATAAAGTAGATCTTATTTTGTCACTTACCAGTCGGACAGTAATTCATTGCATACTGACATGCGCTGTTTTATTTCTTTCGATAATTCTTCCAAATTTGTAACACAAGGAAGTAAATGTTTTAGCTCTTTAGCCTTAAACGTCACGTCGTAGTCTGAAAAAAAGTTGTAAATTTTTGTTCAAATGATTGATTTTAAAAAATAGGTCAGTTATTGATAATTTCGACTGAATATTACTCAGTGTGAATAAACACTTGAATACTTTATTACTTCATATTGACCAAAACTAATGGAACAAAAGTGTGAAGTAAGCACGGTTATTTGCAATTGATAAAGATTTAAAATCTCAGTAAGAATTGTGACACCCATGAAGCATTGCGACCTTTTGAAATTTTGTAAAAATAATCTTGGAATGAAAATTACTATATTTACATATAGAAAAATTCATCCTATCAAATTATAATGATAAATTGTTGCATTACAAAGAGACAGACATCTTACTTTGCAGTTTTTCACTAATGAGAATTTCTTTGTTTAAATTCATCAAAAGATAGTGTAACAATTTTAAACTATTCTCAGCTAGCCAGCCTTCTTTGATTTGTGTTAGAATACATTTCAGCAGGACATCTGGAATCTGTAATACAAACATAAAATCTGAAAATATTCATCTTCAGAATACATTTGTTATTTATAATAGTCTACTTGTGTCATTTAAAAAGCCTGAAAAAGTATTTTCACGAATTATTTTTTTGCACGCAAAATTCTATTGAATCACGAGTCTCCGACTTCTGAAGCAAAAACCATTTTGTGAAACTATGTCATTTTCCAATATCCTTACATGAATCAACACTTCTGGGACTCCCAATTATCTTGTTCCGTGTTCGTGCTCATAAAATTACCTCGGACAGATTGAAGGTGCGAAAGAATTCACAAGTTCTCTGTTCTGATTACTTATCGACTCAGGCTTTCTACTCTTTAGCTTGTTACTTCACATCTGGATCAGATCCTCCTTGATTACTAATGATGCTACCCAGATACATGAAGACTTGCACCTATTTCACAACTTCCCCATCAAGTGTGATTTGGTTGGTGCTGTCTACCTTATACTTCTGAATTTCGCTTTTCGTTTGTAAACACTGCCGCGTAATTCTGCTGAAACCACCGCTATAGTGGCTGTATTCGTGTGCATTAGTTGTTGCATATACAATAGGGAGGTTAACTCATTTTTAATGTACGAATTATCTAGCTGTGTCCATTATACTCCATCTAGTCAACAAACAGAAGAGAAAACTCGTCAATATGCACCCGTCAAGAGTTAGGCTTTATTTGGAATGTATCTGCATTGCAGTCTATCTTAATAATTCTGTATGTCGGTAACGATCTTCTCAGGTATTCCATAGTGTCGTAGATAATCCCACATGTTTTTCCTATGCAGGATTGTCGAATGCTGTTTCATAATTACGGAAACTCATGTATAAGTGATGAGTTACATCCAATTGTTTATTCAACAAGGATTGTCAGGCTCCGGATTCGGCTTAAGAACTCGAGAATATTACCTGGTACTGGCATCAGCGTAATCTCTATGCAGGTCCCACATACACTAAGATCATTTTTTCCGTATATTGGTGAAAAACAGAACATATTGCTTCTGAATCTGACTTTAGTGCTGTCGAAGTTATTACTTCCTTATTCTCTTCTGAGTTGCTTGCAATAATGGTCTCTTCTTACAGTAGATTTGGTACTTTATTGCTCTTACCTATCTTAAGCTCATTTAACCCGTTAGTATGTCGAAAGAAAACTGTATTAAACCATTGTATTCACGCTTGCCGAATCGTTCAATACTTTAGTTTTAGCTTGGTCTTCACCAGGTAGCGATCTGAAGCTATATCACTTCTTCCATTCGATCTAACGCCTTCAATGGACCTGAATTTTTTATTGATCTAAACGTAGTCGATGTAGCTCTCCGTAGCGTGGTTCGGTGGAACCCATGTAACTTTATTACTGCACATATGGGAGAAAATGCTGCCACTCATAACCATGTTTTTGGAAACACAGCTTACTAGTCTCGCATTATGTTTATTCATTTATCTGAGTTGTTATCTGCGTCCGTACTTGATTTAGTCAATCCTGATCTTGATTTTTAGCTCCCTTTGTCATGGTCGTTAGATGTTTCCGTGGGCATTTCTCTGGGTTGGCATCTAACATATTTACTGTTATCATTTGAGGGTGGGTAGCACTGGATGACATTATTTTAAATTCTTTTCTTTAAGAGATGCTTTGATGGTTCTGGACTTATGGGTTTTGCGTTCTATGAGTGTCTGCGTGCTTCTTCGGAGAGCGTCATTGTGTCCAGCGGGTTCTACTTATTTCAAGCACGGCTAGGTTGTATCTTCTGACTTTGAATGACCATCCTGGCTTTCGCCATGAAAAGCCAACTCTGCCATCTGAAGACCGTTAGACTACTAGGAAAGACCTTAATTTATTTAACTTATTTTTCTGGTTGACGTCTTTCCAGTGCGGTTCTATTTTACGGAGTGGGTGTGCTAAGCTTTCCTTGGTGTTGAGATCGGGAGTAGCTGCAAGCGGAGTTTCGTCGCAATCACCAATACATAAACATCTTGGTAGGCAACATTTTTATCCAAGTGTCTAAAATCCGATGATTTATAATATAGCGTGGATCGTATCTTGATTGTTAAAGCTTTTAAAACTTCAGTACAGGTGCATGTTTTTGTTGGAATGGTTCCTCTTAGATATATGGTTTGATTTTTAAGTATGCGCTTAACATATGGTCCAGAAAACATTTAAAGCTTCTTAATGAAATCATCCAGCTCAAAGAAAACATTAAATCTCAAAAGCATTGTTGGTTAAATACACGTAGAGACGTGGATAGACAAAAAGTAATTTGTGGAACTCGTGAAAGCAATATGCTAAAAGACTTACAAATTATAGTTTGTAGAAATATGATATTTCTAGTAGTAGTTGTAATCAAGAATTACTTCATCTTACCTTAAGATTAGGATCAAGAGAATATAAATTACAGCAATTTATGTATAGACTGTCAGCATGTAGAGTGTCGACGTAAGTATTACCACTGCAGGAAAAAAGGTAAAACGGAAGATAAATTCTGTAAAACATTAATAGGCATTGGTGATAGTGGGGTTAATCCTACAGTAATATGTTGTAGCCATGTGGCAGTGCAAGTTTAGAAATGCTACCGACTTGTCTCTTAGTCAAGAGAATTGTAGTACCTACATGGTCAACACAAGCATATCTACAACTGGCTGATATCCGAAAAGCGAGATTCATTTCAATGTCAATGATCTTTTGACATTACTGCATCCCAATAAAGCATGCTATACATAATAGAATCTTCGATTACTCAGGCATATGTTATTTTATTTAAAAGTTGTACACCGTTTTACTCGTCTCATTCTTGTTAGCGTTCTGCATCAAGTTTTTCACAAACAACTTTGAATATATATCAATTCAAGTTGCCGGACCATATCGACTGTATGGCTGATAGCGACATGATGTATTTGCGTTCAAAATTAGGTCGAATTAACAGGCCACCCGTTAAACGATTCTCTTCTTTATACTTAAAGATGTTGTTTGCTAAGAATAGACGGTTGTTCGAGCCTAGTCACAGCATTGCGTTGATTAGGGAAACACCTTACTGCCGACGCCTTCCTTGAGGTGTTACGATTTCCTGATAATTATTGAGCTTAATAGTGAGAATTTCTACAGGATTAATAGGTTTGATAAGAAACAAATCAAACTTTTACCATATATCATCAAGCAGGTGTTTATAATAATAATAATTTTTCAGTACGTAAACGAATAAATGAGCATTTTGTCAATTGAAGTTAAGATAAAATTCACCTACCTCACGACATAATAAAGGGAGGTTATCTAACAGCTTTTCATTTTCTTCATGCAAACGGCGAATCGTTTCCCGTTTCTTTCTCTTTAAATATTACAAGATAAGAGAAAGACTACAGCAATTTCACTCATTACTTTTTATTTTAGAGTTCGTTTTTAAGATTTTTACCCATGTTAAATATTATAAACCAAATAAATATGTGATCAAATTGGACAGAAGTGAAAAGAGTATTGTTACTAATCTCGATCTGACGGTGTTAGGAGCTACCAGGCTAAATGATACGTCTCTATGCGTAAAATTGGTGCTAGCTAGGACTAAACGGTTATCTGAAAACGTTTGCAACAGGTTGGTGATTTGTTTGCTTGAGTAGGACGCCAAAAGTCCCACTAAGTGTCTAAAGTTTGGCCAATTATGTTTACTTGAGAGCTCAAGTCATTTTCGAAAATAATGAAATCCATCTGGTTGGTTAACAAGTTAGAGTTGAGTACGTGTTACATCCACGAAACAGTTCGAATTCGATTAAATATTGCTTAATGTATAGAGCAAGGAGGAAATCGAAATCAAGGATTAAATGAGTCGTTTAAATTATGTTGTGTAAAATGGTCATATCATTGCTGTTACTGCTACTCATAACTGATGAATATAAACTTCATTGTGTTGAGATTACTGAGTTTTGTCAGTTCATCTGAAATTAGAACGTGGATTTGAGTTCATATGCTTACTGGATAACACGTTCCTAAACCTTGTGTAAAAAATGTGACAAACATCTCCATTTCGTTTTAATAAATTCATTCGTAAAAGGTCCCATGTTTCACATTTATAGTAGATAACAACTCTAATGTTTTATTATTATTACACCATTGCTACAACTGATGGCAATGCATCGCAAATAGCACATGAGCATCGCGAGAACTAACTTCTGCATAATTATTAAAATTAACACATTTTTTATGTTATTACAATTAAGTAATTTGTCAATATGCCTAATCTATGAAGTCAGGTCTTATGTTGATGAAGAGTAGTAGCCCGTTCAGTTGACTTAACTTTCTTACTCGAACCTACATGCCTAACCTCAAAATAACTCAATCCGTCGTCCTACCTAACGCGAGCAATGCCTTAACAATAACTATGATCATTTACTTACGACCACACTTCTACTTTTAAAGATAATCTTTTACAATCGAGGAGCGATACAGAGCAAACTTCTGAGTAGTGCATTTGTCTTCGAAAATAATCTTCAGATTTCTAGAGTCCAGATATCCTTTTTTAGGTATACATGTACATAAGGGGATAAACTGACAGGAAACAACGATGGTGAGCAAAATGAAAAGACAGACAAGCGACTTGGCAGAATAGGAAGAAATTTTATATGTCCTGATAATGGATAATTAGCGCCCCAATACACTTTAATAACTGAAGGCATAGAAGGCCTCGCATTTACTCCAGAAAATTGATAGCTACCTATTAGTGATAAGGATTTCTTAATGTAACCGGCGTGTCTTTTTTATTAAACGTAAGGATGTAGGTAATATCGGTTTAGGTTAAGGTAACACGTGTGATGACCGTACTGAAATTTAGATTGGTTAAAAAATACGAACACTAAGACAGTTTTTATTATTTGACCTATGACCAACTGGTTATTATTAGCTACCCAAACAACTTGTGTCTGACATCGGTATCTTGCACCCTAATATCTGTTCTGCATACTCTCTTAATGTTATCCAGTCGATAGTAGAAGACACTTCTGAACATTTGAATCGGAATCTACCACGTGAGTGAAAATAAAGAATAGTTCACCTCTCCATTTCTTTGTAAGTTTAACCAAATATATTTTAACACCAGACAAAGTTTTAGTAGTTCACAGCCCTATTGCGATTCTTAAGAAAATTTATTTAATTTAATGAAAGTCGATTTACTCTGAAAAGTACAAAAACTAGCAGTTGGTTGTAAATATGTCTAAACTCTACTCACCAAAAGACTTTCAATATTCACTATTTTTGTGCCTAGTGATTCATATTCAAAAAGGTTTGTTTTGTTACATTCTACGTCCAACTTTAACTTCCCGATACGGTGCTTCATGTAGTGGACCTTTGTCTGTAGCGTTAATAATTGAAGTTCAGCATTTAAAAAATCTCTTGACACATTACATTTTTGTAGTTGAATGCGCTGTTAGGATAAAAGATAAAAACGGACAGTTAAAACTGTGATGACACCGGTTATAATATTTGATTCTCTACTTATTACAATGATAACAAGAGCATTCTTTATATTGTAATTTAATGCCAGAAAGATAATTTACTTGTGTTATCATAAGCACGACAGGATATAACCCACCTTTATCTAGCGATCAAATAAGCAACTAAACAGCTCACGATCTACTAACTAAAGCAAGAAAACATGAGCAGCTTTGTCACCATTTCTTAGTCTTTAACCTTAGAAACAAGTGACGTGACGCGATCCACTTAATATAATATGGTAGAACACATGTATTCAAACATTTACTACCAATACCTTGAGTTAACATCTTTTAAATTAATAGTTATATATACGTTTGTGTAAATTGACGAAAATATGATGAATAGACGCCAACTTACAATATTCAGAGATCCTACATTCATGTTGTTTCAAATCGTGCTCTGGACAATAAATCACGAAGCATGTTTAAAGGTAAATGGACTTTTTGGTTGTCAGTAAAATTTCACACTGAATCTTCAGAGTAGTCAGAAAATATGTACTGACCGGAAGTTTGTACAACAACAAAGTAACTACCAGAATAGTAATATGTGCTCAACGACAAATTTGGAAAATGGGAAAAACGATTAGAATCAAAAAAGTTCGTAAGAGCTAAAGGTAATCACTTGCTTTTAAGTTTTGAAGCTCAGAAGAAAGATTAAACAGATATTTTCTTTTCCTGCTGATTTCAAGAAAACTTCTTATATGAGACAGTTGCTTATCCTCCAGGAATTTATAATAAAAATTGAACTTACAAGTGGAACAGTAGTGCTAGTCCTATAATATAAAAACCTCATTGTATTCAAGCTCTTACCTCTTGTAACACACCGATTCACGTTTTGTGGATTCAAGCCGTTCAAGACTACGGATGACAATTAACTCTAGCCATTTTGCTAGGTCACTGCTTTTTTGTGAGACATACAATTCACCAGCACTTTGAACTGAATCAACAGTGAACTTCTGATCACATACAACTGTCAGTACATAGTAAAAATAAAAAACATACTTGGTTTAATAATTCCGTGACCGATACATTTTGAGCACTTTCCAAATTACTTGAGTGGAAAAGTAATTACGATTAGAAAACGATTTACTTATTTTTGAACAGAAAACATAGCAACTTTTCAAGCAAACGTGAATTAGATTGTAGTTTCGACAAATGATTACCAATTGTTGTAACGATAGTCCCCATTAAAGTTGATTGCATAAGCAAACGACTCATACTATCCTCCATTGTGCTAAAAATAGAGTGAGGTCATACTAGCACGTCGGGACAGTAGGTAAAAGTGAACATACAATACAGGCACGGGGAAAAGGCAAGGTAAGAACGGTAGGCTCCTTCGAATCTGTCCGCCGTTTTGTTTCAACGACCTTGAACGGCCTTACTAGAGGTAGTCATTCCGTATTTCAATTGCCGTGGGTTTGTTGGTTGAATGAGTATAAGGTTTTTTCATATTTAAGTCATCCTTACCTGCTTTGAAAAGCACAAAGTAACTGTCAAAGGCAATAATTTAGCATGCTCTGTCTTGTAGTGTACAAGTTGTCTCTGTTGTTGCTTCAAAACTTGATCTGTGATCGAAACTGCTGTAGTAAACCTCAATCAAATATCAAGTCACCGGTAACTCTTGAATATTTATAGTACTTCCTTCAGTTACTCTTGTTTCAAGGAGTAATTATTTATAATTATTGATTGATGTTTGTAGTGCTTCATTGTCAAGTGACATTTCAGTCGACTTAAATGGTTCAAATGGTTGTGGACGGAATAGAAGAAGCTTTCGCTTAACAGGCTTCCGTGTCTAGTAGCAGGGGATCATCAAATCCTCCAGGCAGGAACCTAGGTGTGTTAACAATAGAAGAGGAAAAATAAATTGGCAAATCATCGTATGATGCTGTCCTTGGTCCTTAGAAATAGGTCAAGTTGCCTCTTAAAGGACTCCTGAAAAGTCGCTTGGACTAGCTCGGCCGGGAGCGAATTCCAGCATTTGACAACTCTTGAGGAATAGAAGTTATGTCTTCATTCCGTATTGCTATGTTGTGTTTCCAGTTTCTGGGTGTTACCCCTTAGGTTATTGTTCGAACTAAGCTTAAGCAGGTGTTTAAGAGGATGTCCAGAAGTGTTAAGAATACTATAAGCCATTAATAAATCACCTCTAAGACGCCTATACTCTAATGGGTGAAGGTCTAGTGAATGGAGGCGTTCTTCGTAAGGTTTAGATTTGAGTCCTCGAACTGACTTCGTGGCTCGCCGTTGGATACACTCCAAAGTGACCTTGTCCTTTTGGAGTGAGGGGGGAGTACTATGTTTCCGTACTCTAAATGGGGACGGATGAAACTATTGAAGATTGTATGGAAAGTTCGTCCGTCAAACCGTCCAAAAATGCGCTTCTACGTTACCAGTGCAAGGTTTGCTCGGAAGGCATTTTTGTCACAGTTAGCTTAAGACTTCAAATCATGGGGCACCAGGACTCTTAAATCTTTTTCGACTTGGGATACTACTAGAGAGGAGTTTCCTAAATTGTAACTGTAGTTTGCAACATGTCACAGATGGACTTCTTTACACTTTGAAGTGTTAAAGGTAAGTCCGTTATCGTCTGCCCAACTTTGAAGTCAAGTCAGATCCTCCTGAAGTGCCTGTATATCGTCTTGGTTGCGTATCTCTCTCCAAAGTTTCACGTCGTCGGCAAAAAGTAATAAGTCTGACGTTACCTGTTGAAAAAGATCATTTATGTAGATCAAGAAGAGAAGAGGCCCTAGTACTGAGCCCTGGGGAACCCCACTATGACATTCCATAGCCTGAGATAAAGTGAAATTAACCCCAAGCTTAAAGTGTCGATTTTTTAGGTATGAAGTAAGCCAATCGATTAGAGGTGGTTTGATACCTAGTCGTTTGAGCTTATTGATAAGACACAAGTTGTTAACCTTATCAAAAGCTTTTGAGAAAGCAAGGTAAATGATATCAACCTTTCCCTTGCAATCGAGGATGCTTGTCCATCTGTCCACCGCAGTCAGCAGGTTGGTTATACCACAGTCGCCCTTCCTGAAACCATGCTGTTGGGGTGAGAAGAAATTTAAGGACAGTAGGTAGTCGTTTAAACCATCGCATATCAGGGACTCCATGAGTTTTGAAGGTAATGACAGAAGAGCCACCGGCCGATAACTTGAAGGTTCATTGCGTCGACCTCCTTTGAAAATTGGTGTGATGTGAGCCAACTTCCAATTTTCCGGTGATTTGCCTCGGCTTAGCGACTGTGAAAGCATCACGCTAAGCGGCATTGCCAGGATTGAGGCTGCCTCCCTCAGTATGACAGGATGAACCATATCCGGGCAAGCAGAAGTATCTAGTCTTAAGTGCTGCAATTTCTGGAATACCAATTCAGCGCTTAGGTCCACTTGGGAAAGTTCTGTGGAATTGCAGATGAAACTGTCGTCAATAAAGTTGATGTCAGCCGGTTGAAATGTTTGGAGTAATGTGCCGCCAGAAGGTTAGCGGCGTCGCCATCGTTGTTGGTCGGGCCGTTAAGACCTACCAGTTGAGAAACTCCTGTTTTGGCTTGACGAAGAGAGGCTGCATAACTGAATAGGCTTCTAGGATTAGAGGCAAATTTGTCCATAAGCTTTGTCTGGTACTAAGGCCTGTCTTCTCTTATAGCCTTTGTGCATATGTTCCTTATATGTTTATATTGCCTATACGCTCTGTCGTTATCAGTTCGTTTGTACTCCGCCCAACAGTGCCTTTGGCGGTTAGCAGGCGAAGGGTACGGTTCTTGATTACTGTAGGTAGCTTGCAGCTTTTGGGAACCGTTAGAGGAACTGAATGGTTTGTAGCACATAAGAGCGTGTGCAGTAGGAAGTCCCAATGACCGTCCACATCGAGTTGAGGGTGAACATCCCAAACCACCTGTTGTAGATAGTCATGTAGGGCTGGCTTATTCAGCCGTTTAAAATTCCAACGCAAATTATTGTTGGGATACCTTAGCTTAGTTTTGATGACAAAACTGGAGGCTATGACGGCATGATCACTTTTTCCCAGAGGAGCCAGGATTGAGAGGTTGTCAACTAGGAATTCTTCGTTTGTGAATACACAGTCTAAGCGCGATGGTGTCTCACTGTTCCTCCAACGAGTCGCCGACCTCACATTTTCATATAAGCCCAAGTCATCGATGAGGTTGAAGAACCGAGCTTCAATTGAGTTGTCGCCTCCAGTGTACGTATGTTCCGCGAAGTTGACTCTAGGGAGGTTAAAGTCCCCTTGAATCAGGATGTGTGTGAAACCGAGACGGGTAGAGCGGGATAGTCCTTCCAGCATACGACTATCGTACTCGATGTCGGCAATTGGCTTCCTGTAAATGTCTCCGACTAGACACCTCGAATTACTAGACAATCTTACAGAGCACCATATGGATTCCTCAAGATTGTTAAACTCGAGGTTGTGAACTTGGTGCGCCTCCAAGCAAGAGCTTATGTATATGGCTACTCCGCCCTCAATTCCTGTTTTTCTGTCGTTGCGGAACAAAGTCATCCCAGGTAATGCCAACTCTTGGTCCGAGAACTGAGAAGACATCCAGGTTTCAGATATTCCTATCAGATGGGCCTTATTAGCGTTGCTACGTTCACGTAATTCATCCAATTTGTTTGGTAGACTCGCGGCGCTCATATATAAGCAGTTTATGCTTTCAATTTGGAACGCGTGAGCTTCGTCCTGTTTTTCTGTATGAGCCTTATGTGAATGGACAGGTAGCCCACCTATACGAGGTTTGCCGAGGTGGTAGGCCCGTTCCTTTACACTTTTTTTATCGTCTAGACAGTCCACAAGTGGAATGGTCTGTTCCAACTTGCCTTTGTGTTTGGTCCTAGCTTCGTATGGCCTATTCGGGTGCATGTGGATTCCAGGTGGCAGTCGACGTCTGTTGGCACGAAATGCTTCCAGAGTTGCAGCCACCATATGGGAAGATGTGACGGTTATCTTCATTAGACGGGGTCTAGAATCACCATCCTTCTTGGCTAGTCTCGTCACATGCTGAGTCAGTATGTTTTTGAGCCTCAAGGACTGTCTGATGAATTTCCATTTCCTGATGTCAGTCTTTGATTGAGTAGGGTCCGTATATTCCGGCATACCTTGCACAATTGTTTCTTCCGCGGAAAAACTTCTCGCGAGTTTCTTTGGGGATGTTCCGTATGATATTGCGCTCAGAGTACGGTATGTCGGGCAATATTCTTACGTTACCATCGGATTTCAGCAAGTGACTTGCTAGTAAGACGTCCTCTACGTCGGTAGCATTCTTAAGTGTTACTCGGAGAATCCTCGGGTGATTTAGATGCCTAGATTCCTTTCCTCGAGTGAGCCGGGTGACCGTCAAAGGCTATATTCTAGGAAGTTTGAGCTTCTTGTTCAATACACCACACAGCATCCTGTCCTTTTTGTCCTGCAGACTGAGAGGAAGGTCAGAATTGTCAACGAGGTTCATGATAATGAGAGAATCGTCACGAACTGTTGTTAATTTACCAGGTTTCACGATGGGTTCAGGTTTAGTAACTTGTTGTTTGGAGGTCAGTGTGCGTTTATGAATCTTGGGCTCTTTAATGACCGGACGAACAGTCTTGGGGGTAGACTGTGCGACCAAATCACCAGTTATTTTCCGTACAGCAACACTTGGGTTGCTCGGCTTAGGCGGTGATGCCTGGTTCTTTTGGGCTCTCTTAACATGGGTCGAATCACCTACAGGGATCTGGGAACCACTGTTGTGTTCAGAGACCCTGAGCGGGGGGACCCGAGTTTGCTTCGGGAGTCTAATACCGTCGACGTAATGATGGTGCTGAGCCTCGACACGACATCATTAGTGTTGATGGATGCTCCATCGATAGTACACCTGTCGACATCCCTATTTTTGTATCCGTCGCACGCTCTTGTTTGTCTACCGGTTTTTGCTATCGTTATCCAAGTTAGCTGACAACTTGTTCCGAAGACCTGTCAGTAGGACAATGATGTTACTCAGCAAGACTACAGCGTCCGTGCTGCACGTGACACATACCCACTTTTGCTCTGACTTGCTGAGTCTGTTGTAAGCAGTTGCCGTTAAATCTGTGCATGCTTCGTGGAACCAACCTTTGCAGTTGTCGCACTGCATGCCAGTTGTAACAGCAAAACGGCATCCCGGACGTCTGCACGAGTTTTTCATGACTATGTTGAAGCAAACTATGTTATAGATGCTTGCGAAAGCCTAAGACCTTTAAAAA